TGCTATATAGGCTACCTGGGGCACTAACAAAATCACTGTATTTCTTGGAGTAAAATTCTGCTTTCAGAAATGTTGTTCTAACCCATGACACTGGCTTTGTATTTCTGTACGTAGAAAAACATATTTATACTTATGCTATTTACCTAATGGCTTTTCCAGAGCAGATTAAGATACACAGACAAAATAAGCATGAGCATATGACTTTATATATTGAAAAGATTCTTGAAGTACAAAACCCCTAGTTTCCTAAAGCTAGCCAGAAGGACATTACAGAGTTTCAGGAATGAGTAAAGATATTTCCATGTCTAAATGGAATTTTGGAACTGTAGATTTTAGTAAAGGTCAGAAGCGTTCATGCTTGCGTTTCCAATTCTTGACTGTGGTAAAAACAATAGCTGACAATATAGATATTTTCTAAGTCAAAGGCTGCTTTTTTTTAATCCACTTTCACTAGGAAGAATGATACTGCTTTTTGTGAGCTTTCCCTATAAATCTGGCACAGTGAGTTACCAGCTCAAGTCTGTACCTTAACTCTCTTCAGCTTCATGTGCTTGTTCAGATTTGCCAGCTTTCATGGTTAGTCCACAGCACTACTTTGTTACTTGTCTTTTCCTCTCAGAATAGGAATCTGCTTTATGTCTGTCAGAGTCATTAAAGCTCACTTTATGCCCTAGATAAATTCAAAATGAAGAAAGTCTAATTCTAGCAAAGCAAGGGGTTTTTTTATTGAATTGGAAGCAAAATAGAAAATGCAAGTATAAATGTACCTGGTATCAGTCTCCTGTCCTAGCTGGTATTTAAGGATTCTCAGATAAATGCAGTAGCTAAGGTCAATCCCAAAGAACTCTATCTCTAGGATGCCCTTGTTTAGATTAAGACCAAATTTAGATCCCTCTTACTCCAGGTTATTGAGATTCTATGAAAATGATTCGTATTGGATCTGTAAAGTAGCTCTTGGAAACTATGCTCTTTTTGCCTTCCATCTCTCCCTCCTTTCTTTCCCTTCCTCTCCTTTTCCTTCCTTCTCTATGAAATTAGGGAAATTTATTGTATCCAAATGTCTGACTAGTTGTAGATGCTTCTGAGAAAGCAAGGGAAACATTGTTCAAGATTGTGTCACTGGAATATACAAGTCTTTTCTGAAATACTGATTTTCTTATACCATGTGAACTGTTATGCTTAAGAAATGCATTGAATTATCATCCCTCTGACTTCTTTTCTGAGGCAGCACTGACTTGTAGTATGAAGATTTTTTTGGCCTCATAGTAATTTACAACTTGTGAAGTACCACATATTATCAGTGTAAAGTTGAGACAGTCTTACAATGCAAGACACATTGTGTTACCTTTCTTCTTTTATTTTCATATTTTTTAGCTCCGAAGAGATCCTTCTGGCTCCTCAGGAATGATGTCAGCTAATCTACATTCCTATCAGAAGAGGTCTTTGTTGGAAATACCTGGCAGTGGGCTGGGTGAGGAACAGAGTGCAAGTATCTCTCCCTCTAATGGAGTAGACAGAAGAACAACTACACTATACAATCATTTCACATCAAAAAATGATGAAAATAGGTAAATAGAATAATCATAGAGTGGTTATGAAATTTTTATTAGATTGGTACAAGTCTCTGTTTAAGGAAAAAAAATGACATTTTCATATGCACAGAATGCTTTATTCCTTCTTTGTGGTTTTGTTTCTCTGTTATCTTGATGGGTGTGCCTCTATCTCCTAGCAGTAGCTTTCAATCTTCCTCTTTATATGCACAAGTACATCCAAAGTACTGAAACAGTATTTATCACTATATCACAGTTACCAGTAACTAAACTACTGGTTTAAAACAAATCTGGTTTACTGAAGTAAAAGAAGTATTTCAATATGTATGAGGTCATTTAGGTGTCTTTACGTATCATTAATATTAATATTAATATTATGGAATCAAGTGTCATCTGTATTTTCTGTATCTTTCAGATCTTTTGAAGGTACGCTATACAAAAGAGGAGCTTTACTAAAAGGTTGGAAACCTCGCTGGTTTGTGCTGGATGTGACAAAACACCAGGTAAAACCTTTTCAGATAATGGGCTTGCTTATGACTAGTTTGCTGGGGTTTATTTACTGAGTTCGTATAGATTGAGTTTACAAATTATACTAATAATGATCATTTTCAGATGTGTATTTATGCGACGTGTGTTAAATCATTATAGACCATATATCTGTTAATCTTGTGTATCTTGTAGCAGATACAGTGTTCTTTGTCATTAGCATTTTTCTTTGCAAACAAAAGAGAATTATATACTCTGGAAAATCGTAATCTGAATTGCTTCAGGAGAAAAACTTACTTACCTCACTTGACTTTTTAGGGTTTTTCCATGACCTGTATTGGAGAAATCTGACCTGGAGCCTCTATATGAAAGTCTTTTTACATATGGAGGTCATGTTCACAGATCACAGATCTGAATTGAGTTTGAATTTTGCAGATTACTTAAAATGACTTAAAATTTCATCCCAAAACTGTATTTCTAAAAGTTCTGATATGCCAAGTTCCTCATTGAACATTAATTTCAGGTGCCAGATATAGCAGTATTTTAGATTAGTCCTAGTGACATAAATTTAGTAGCAAAATTACTCGTAAATATTCCAACAAATCATTGTACAGCAAGGCACATTAAAACCAGAGATGTGTTGGTCTAAACATTTCACCCATATTATAATGTATGCTGGAATTCTGCAGTAGAAATTCGTGGTCTCATGTACTTTAAATAATGTTGGGTCCTGGGGCAGTAAATCCTCATTGAGCCAAATACTCCACACAGTGTGGGTTGTAACCTCTGAGACTCACATATGCTTATTTATTGCAATAAATACACTTTAAAAATATGCAATATAGATAAAGGCAGTCATCTTTTAAAATGCTAACTGAGGATTTCTAGATTAGTTTGGTAAAATATCAACAAATGTACTGATTATAATTATTCTTCCTGATATACAGAAGAAAAGGTTCATTTTGCAGAAGAAAAAAATACTTGTGAATTTTTTGTATAACCAAATATCCTTCTGAGTTTCATAGATGTAAGATTAATACAGGTCAGTCTTAGTTGGAATTCTGTTGTTTGACCTTGCTGTGAAAGTCAATATTTTGCATAAGGTCATTATTTTGCATTGGTTTCTGGGATTTTTTTATTATTTCCCCCTCCCTCCCTTTTCTCCCCG